CATATACATACATTGCAGTTTATATATATATATATTGCAACATGTTTTTTTGTGGCAATACAGCCGTATATACGTTCAAGCCTACAGGCAGTCGCACACCACTAAATCAAGGTTTCAATATACAAATACTAATTACTTAAACCTGTCGATAATAAAACGTGCAGTCGCGATTCATGTATAACCACGCCAAGTCACTGAACTGTGGTTCAAAGTGGTTGCTCAAAAAATTACTTAAAAAAAAAAAAGGAGAAAAAGAAATATACATATTTATGCACCTAGAGAGCCGGGATGCCACCAAATATTTGATCTAGCGTGAAAAACAATACTCTAAAAGTTACTGGGAGACCTTTCATTAAACAAAGATCGGAAGTACTTTCGGTCTTTGTGGATAACAGTTATTATGTCGTAAAGCTAATCTCTGCGAATGAAAAGTTTCCTAATGTGCACAGTCGAGACGGAGTGTAATTGTAAAAATATCTTAAATCGACACACGGGAAAGATAGCGATGTATGTATGTATGTATATATACGAACAGATTCTGTTATGTCGGCTTGACTTTCACACTACACATTGCTTTCTATTCATTTCAAAGTAATGCTCGATATATCATATACGGTATCGTTCTAAGAAAGAACTAGATATCCGTAAAGATCGATCTAGCGACTCACCCGTATTTTCTAACAGTGTTTTTGGCGTGTCTGGTCGATTAATGATTTCGATGAGCTGTGCCAAAATTAATGGGATGTACGCGCTTGTGTCAGGACCTGTGAAGGACAAACAAAATAAGTAAGCTTTATTTAGTTCCCAGAAAAATATCATTTTCGATATTTACCGAGTTTTATCGAAATTTCACCGATCGCCCATGTCGCGTTGTTACATACTGATATGAATTGCGGATGCAAGTTTTGTCCAAGTATTGGCATAAACTCCGCTGCAAGTCAAAATGAAATTCACATATACATATATATCTGATAAATTTAATATCTAGTACCTAATGTATACTTACGTATGCAGGGGAGCACGTGTTGGAAGCAAGCTTTTGTAAGATCTCCTAACAAAGCGAAGCTACTCTGTCTGACTTCAGGCATGCTATCCTGCATACACTGATACAACAGCTGCATAACGTTGCTGTTCAACACTAAACGTTCCATGTGACCGTCCAGTCCTTCTGCTAATCCGCTGAGAAGGTCCAATGCAACTATCATAAAATCTTTATCGGGTGCCTCAAATTGCTCCGGACTTTGCGTGCTCGCTATATGTTGATTCAGCGTTTGCTCCACAAGTGATACGCATCGCCTGCAAACGAAAGAATATTTTATCGTATGAATTTACTATATCACACTGAAATAATAGATTGGAACGTCAATATATAAAACAGATTTAGACCCTATTCTCTAAAACTCTTAACAATAACGACAATAACGAGATCGTTAATTGTCATTGCACATATTTCATATACAGGGTTTGGAAAATAATAATAAATCTTTCACATAGAAGTAGAATGGACTAAACTGAGAAGAAAAATCCTCATTTTACAATTTTGCAATAGTTAATAAGATATTAATTGCTAAAAATTGCCGAAAATTGATCTTTAATCATTTTTTTACTCAAATATTATTAAATATAGAAACGAAAATTGTTTTCTTCTCATAGAGCTCTAAGAATTTTTTCAGAATTTTTTAATACCATATTTTCTCTTGTTAATAAAAATGAGAAAATGCAATATTAAAAAGTTGATAAAAAATTCTGAAAAAATTCTTAAGAGTTCTATGAGTGAAAAATAAACAATTTTCGTCTTTTGCACTTTTTCTATAAAATTGATAGTATTTGAATAAAAAATTATTGAAGACCAATTTTCGGCAATTTTTAGCAATTAATTTTGTTAACTATTGCGAAAATTGCAAAATGAGAAATTTTCTTCTCAGTTTAGTTCATTCTGCCTCTATGCAAAAGATTTATCATTATCATATTTTCTGATGTGTTATCATTATTTTCCGATCCTGTATAAAAAATGCACAACAACAGACATTTAATTGATTGTATACCAATAGAACACTGATTAAAATAGGCAAGAAACAAGTAAAGACAGAATTGAAGTATTATTGTCATTAAGAGTTAGGGGTTTTGTATCTATGATGTTAGAAATCAATCAAAGATATCGAATGAAAAAGGAATTGACCAATTACATCGGTCATGTGATCGAATTGTTAAAATGTAATTTGTTAATTCTTTCTCCGAAATCTCACATGATTTCTAGCATCAGTGGACACAAAGACTTTAATCTGGTAAAAAATTATTATTCGTCACGTATGTACATACCTGTACACAGGTTCGCAATACGGTAAGAAACCCGAGCGCAATGCGGTCGCTACTGAAGAAAGGCATTCCAGCAATGGGAACAGATCTTTATCTTCATCCTTCAATACGTTCCACTTATTAATAAGAGGCGGCATCAAAAGATTGATGTAATCTGGTCTGTTTAGATGATGACCCACAGAATCAGCGAGAGTACCGATGGCGTCGTATAGAATTAAAAGATTTTTATGCTGATATTTACCTACGAATAAACAGTCGTATTAATCAGAGATGTATCTTCTAGACTAGAACAAGACAAACTGCTTGGTGTTTTACTTACTAAATGCAAAGACGAGCGTTTCGAGAATAAATCCAAGATAAGGAACCAATTCGGTACATGCTTCTTCTTCCAAAGTCGCAAAGGCAGAACATGCCGCCTCTTGAACACGTTTGTTACTATCAAGCACTCTTTTGAGCAGTTCCGTCATCAGAGGTTTCAAATGCGTCTCGTGAGGTTGTGCACAAACCCAGTGTGCGTAACGGCTCAATGTCCAGCAAGTTATGGCACGTACAAGAGCCTTCTTGTCACTCAAACAACCGATCAAATAAGGGATGAGCTCCGACAAATGTGGAATCATACCACTCATACAACCTGCAAATATGAATCAAATTTTACTCGGTTCGATTTAGATTATTAATTTAGTTACATTAATTTATACTTTAAGAAGAAAAATGTGCGCGCACCTTCAGCGATAGCTCCCAGTGCCAAGATACCGGATTCTTTGATCTCCCAAGACTGATGGAAAAGAGTCTCCTTCAAGATCGGTACTAAAACCGGTAGAAGCTCTTCCCTAAAAACATTAGCCAACATATCTAACGCAGCGGCAGAGCACTTCCTCAAGTTCCAATCGCTCAGAGTTGAATCATCATCGCATCCGTCCTCAACATCTATATCCTCATCGTCGCATCCACCGTTTATTCCGTTCTCATCGACGATGGGCTGTTTGCCCATACCGTTAGCATGATGCGAGTGATGCGTCTTAGATTTATGAAAACGTGGTCGGATGTCTTCTTCTCTGTCTGGAATCATTTCATCCTCCTCCACATCTCCTTTGAGGAGAATTATGTCAATTTCCGAATATTTCATACCTTTCACCTGTGATAAAAAAATGTTAAGAGTCAAATAAAAGAAAGACGAAAGAATGATATTTGGTTTATCATAAATTTAGAAGACAACTTACCAAGATAGGTACTAATCGTGTCAGGTGTGGTGCAAGTGCCTCTTTGCAAATTGGTTGTTCTGCTAGTGACAACCAAAACTCACAAGCTTCCAGTGCCACTCCCTCGTCAACATCCTGAGTTCTCATTAGCATATATTCTATTATATTGTGCATATGTGGTATTAATCTGTCCATTCGTACCTCGAGCAGCATTACCAGTGCCCTACGCAAGAACACGAAAGATATAGGAATTTGTCCTTCCTGTTAGCGATAACAATAAAAAAAAAGACAGATTACTTCCTCTGCAATATACTATTAACTACCTGCATACGTTTTTTCGGACCTCAGAATCATCATCCGAAGCTAAATGGAAGAGATTCTCCAAAAAGCTGTCTATATGTATCATAAGTGCTTGCGTGCGTTGAATGATAAATTGATTGACACACGCTATCGCGTGGGATCTGATCTTGGGACTTGAATGTCTAAAGAACTGAAGGAACTTTGGAATCAGAATGTTCAAGGGTCGATTTAGAGCATCTGAATCTAATATCTCTGCCGAATCCTCACAAATCTTCTGGAGAGCGCCAAACGCACCCTCGCAAACGTTGTAATCTTGCGAGTCTAACATTTGACACAACGCTGGCAACAATTCTGGCCAAGTTGTTAATTCACCTTAATTCGTAGAAATTTCAACCGTTAAAAAACATAATACATATATCTTTGCCACATTTTCTGGAATATAGTAAAAGATGATAATATACCTCTTGATGCGACAGTAGTGATCAAAATACCGACGGTCGCACGAATCAGCGGTGATGGATCTCCGACAGCTGACAGACATTCTTGCTTTACGAAATTTATGACCTCTGGTAAAAATTTATGGAAGTACGTCTTTACATTGTTTTTTAATATCAGTCCACTCAATGACCTAGTAGGTTCATCTGAACAGAAAGAAAATTATTAGTTCCTATTTAATACTATAAAGATTTTAATGTAGAATTACAAGTGAAAGATTTCAGGATAGTCCAATTGGAGTTTAATTTTGACATACCTTCTGATGTTAATTTTGTTAGAACAAAAATCAGATAGTTGTTGAAATCCGGAAATTTATTCAATTCTTCCAATTTCTATTCAAAGAATTCTAATTAAGGAAAATGTAAGAGACAAGAAACTATTTAACAAGATACATACGAAAAGTCAAAATTCATAATTATTCTTTAAATTCTTTAGAGTAAAATCTCACTCTATAACGAGTGAAAATTGAATCTTGACAAAGAGTGGCTCAATTTTCAATCTTAACAAGTGAGATAAGTCTTAGAAAAAGTTTTAGAGAATATATTTTACGAGGCCGATTCGTTCCCTCAAAGAGATAACAAGTTGTGAACGTAAACCAGTCATCGATAAAGCGCGCGATCGCAACGCGATTCGGTACGGCTGCAATCTATAGGCGCGGGCGGTTCGTTTACGCGGTATGTCCGACAAGGACTCCCGCGAAAACTATCGATCAGAGGAGCCGCGCGTTGGGAAAACAAGTCCCCCCGCGCGCGCGAGCGTGCGAACGAGCCGTAATCCCCGCTCAGCTCCGTGTCGTTCAACACGGTCGGGGCATGCACAGTCAGCATATTTTCATCTTTGCGCTCGAGACGCGTCCGGCACGCTCGATTCCGAGCAGCGCGACACGGCGTAGCGACTCCTGACGACTCCCGGACGGTGACGGGACCTCTCGAGGAACATCGAGAAACGAGCGAATGATCGTTGCGAATTCGCGACGCTATCGCGAGCGAGAGAGAAAGAGAAACGAACGAGCGCGCGCGCGCGCGCGCTGTCTCTTTCTTCCGAGCGATCTCGACATGGAGATTGGCGTTCGCGCGTAATTAATTTCACCGGACCATTTCCGGACGAACCCCGAATGCCACTGCCACGCCGGGAAAACGAACGCGGAACGCGATGACGGGACAGACGAGCGAGCGGCGTGATTACGCGCACCGTCGCGTCTCTTTATTTTTTTTTTCCACTCGCGCTTCACTCCGTGGGGGCCACGTATGGGCGAGAGCGACGATACACCACATCACACGACACGACGGTTGACGGCGACGGATAAGAGACATGAGGATCGTCGTTCTTGAACGTCAAACGAAAGGATACTTGTTGTACGGCCCGCTGAGTCGCCGTGTCCGGGCTCTGCGACTCCTTGAGCAGCGTCAGAATTTGCCTGAGTCCTTCCTCCTGTGGTTGCCACGCCATTTTCATCGTGTTTTTCAACAGCACCACTGTAACGCGCAGCCTGCCTTCTCTGACCTCGCAGATAAACGGAAGCTTCCTACAGCGCTCTCTTTCTCTCCCGCCCCCTTCCCCTCTCCACCGGCCAGCCAACCCCCTCTGCAAACTGCTCACTGCTGAGCTCGGCCAGGACCGTGGTCGCGCAAGGGGGCGCCACGCCCTTCCTCCGCGGCTTATATCGCCTATGCCATGGCGGGAAGGGAGAGACTCGTGTTTCTGTTTCATAACCGCTCATTTATCGGCCCTTTTTTTCACATGTCTCCGGGAAAACTCAATGAAACCGGCTCGTGGTCCGGTTCGCGAAACTAGATTCTCTGCTGTGGTTAACCCACTGGAGGGTGCCCCCCCGGGGTTCCTTGTGGCACCCCGCGTGGGAACGTCGATTGCAAAAGCGCCGGACAACGTCTCAAGACGAAAAGATTTTAAAATTGGAGGTCCCAACCGGTCCAGATTTCCGGTGTCGCGCGAATCGACGCGGGAAAACGCACCTTGCGCGACAATGGATATTCCACGATCGATGCAAAGTTCATCCTTATACGTTCGCGTGGAAACGTGCCGTTGAAAATCAACAACAGACGTGATCTCATACCGGAATGACGATTGAATTCTCAGAAAACTTCGATTAAATTCCAATTGACGTAATCAGCAATTAATTCGATTGGTTGAATTACTCATTGCATAATTTAATAATTCGTTGTTTCCGATCCAATCCTTTTTTTTCGTGTTTTATTAAATAACAATTATTTTATATCTATACTGAAATAAAAATTATTGTATTACAGAATTTGTATTTGATTAAATCAATCATTAATTAATGATAACTTAATCAATGATTAGCTCAGTAAAATTGCTTATTGCAAAATGTTCAAATGTTTAGGCAAGTCATCTTTTAATCTCTATTTCTACTTAATCTCTATTTCTATTGAACTACAAAGATTAATTCTATTCACGATTGTTGAGTACCAAAAGTATCGCTTGGTGAATTAATTGTACTACTCAGTGTTCGATCGCAATCGGCTCTCGGGTGAATAAAATTCGTATCGAGTGAAACGCAATTTTTATTTGGAAATTTTATTTAAATATAGCGGCTAGCGCGTACGGAAAGGTGGTAAAAAAAAAACGCGGTGGTAATCGCATTTTCGACATTGGCAAGGGTCGATCCATCGCCAACGACACTAAATAATTACGAAGCAAAAACGATGCGCATCGCAATCTTGAAATAAAAAAAAAAAAAGAAAGAAAGAATTGAGAACTTATTTGAATATCTTATAAATATCTATGTATAATGTGTGTTAACTGCCGCGTTTTAATCTCTAAATCCTTACAAAGACGGCAAAGACCACTCATGATGTTGCACACTTAAAACTTAGTAATTAACTTAATTAGAAATAATTGTTCTTACTATCCCTTACAATTTGTACTGTCGCATTATTGCGAATATTATGACTCACACTCAGCTTTGGGGTAACTTTTGAAGTGTCAGTCTTGCACGTGATGCTACCAAATCTGTTATTTACATGATGCATACACAGGCTCTTTCTTTTTGAAGGGAACTTCCGAGATTCCCTTAGTTACTTCTGTCCATTCTTTTTAACTTCTAACTTTTGATCGATCTCTCACGTTGTTAAAGATACATATATATATATATATGAAATTGCTTCTTTTCTTTCAGAGTACATTACTCGGGTAACTGCTACAGCAAGGCCATATAGTGAAGATATTTATATATAGGCATAACGTGGAATCATCGGACCGACATTCGTGAGTTTTCTTGCTTGACCCGATCAATCGTGCAATCTTCTTAATCAGTATAAATTATTAAATGTATATATACAGCGTTCAACGCATTTAAATGGTGACGGAAACGGCTTCCGTGTCGTGTGTATTAAATATCGGCGCGTATGTATGAAGTGTTTCGAGATCGTTTCATTGAAAATCTATTACAAAAGCGTTAAATAATCGCTCTATTAACAATTATAGTTACAGGTGCTGCGACAAATCGCGCCAATTTTTACGTTTATCGTTAACGGTAATCGAAGGCACGTATTGGAGAAGATTGTGGCTCGTTCTTGCTACTGCTTGAACGATTTTACGAATGTCTTGTGAAAAGGAACCTTAGCGCGATCAATTCTTAAGCTAGTCTTCCGTGAACACGAAATCTGTATAAACACGTGTAGTCTAGTTGTCCGTGATTGCTGTGTATCCTCAATTCTATGTATTCATATGGTTTATTGATTTCTGTGTTCTGCATAAAAAAAATTAAGGATTACTGTGAATTAAGGATTACTAGTCCTAATAAATCTAATCAATAAAATAAAAACATGTATAGAAATAAAACACAAATAAGACAACTTATATGTATTAAAAGAAAAGTCAATTTATTAAAGAATATTAAAAATAAATTTACCTGAACTGGAAAATATTGTAAACTTTCATCGGAATACGTGAATTCGTACTCCCCGAACATCACTGGCTCAAGATCGTTCTCATTCAATAATCCCTACAGCAACAAGAATATTTAAAAAAAATATGTTTAATAAACAAAAGAAATTAAATAGTTCACATACCCAGACATTGAATTTTCTGGGCGCACTCGACATGTTTTCATTTGGTAAAATCAATTTGGACACATGCTCCAGAGTGAAACCAGTTACATAAATAAAACTTCGCAATTGTATCAGGAGGTATCCGGGAAAATCTTGGAAGGCCCAACAAACACCAGGTTGTATCGGATTTCCCTGTATTACTGTCCGCGGATTATTGCTTTCGTAATACAATGTGAAACCGAATAAACTGAAGGCTCTCGACTTTATGTCATATCGCTGAGTGCATCGCGTGCTAATAATCTGACCGCCTATACGGTGAACAAAGCTATTTATTATATTCTATTCATCAATTATTAATTTATTGACACGATACAATACCTGCCGTTTCCAAAGCATAATCTACTTGACCCGTTTTATCCGCGTCATAAATTCGCAAAACTTCTTTTACTATTTTGCGTATATGCTCGTCCGAAGTATGAACATTTGCATTGTCAAGAACTTTTTGAGCTATAAAAATATTCTCGATATTAATTAATTAATATACGACATAACATCCAAATAGATTTTAAATATATCTTCAAACCTTCTCTATTATGAGATGCAAGTAAACTTTGCAAGTTTTGCCCGAGCTCTTCTTTCAAAATTCCGGAAGGAAAGTAGCTAAGTAAAATTTTTTCTACGTGCTTTTCTATATCCTGATTTATGATAGATTCTGCATTGGCATTACAACAAGATTTTAATTCTGAATACAGTTTGCGTAATTCTTCAAATTCGTTTTTAATAACTTTAAGTTCGCTATATGCTATATTTTTTAATTCGCTGATATCCAGCTTATTTTCCACATTAATAATTTTGTCCTGGAAAGATAACTACTGTAGAACTCGAGATCTTCGTAATCATTAATTCTTAATAATATATGAGCGCGAGCATGACATAGCAGATTGATCTACCATGCCAGAGGTTCCAGGTTCGATTCTGGTAGGAACCAAAATGTCTCCTCTCGGAAAAGACGAATAACCTTTCGAGAGTATTCTTGCCCATAGAAACACCTCTTGAAAAATTCGCCATTCAAAATCGAACTTGTTAATTAAAACTGTAGGTCCCATATACTTGTGACAATTGAATAATCAGCGTTCACATCACAAGCATATGAGAGAGGTGTAACATAAGCCAGAGACACAGGCTCAACGTACGAAGAAATAATAATAGAAATTCATAGACTTACATCATACTCCTTCCGGAAATTGGCATCACTTTGCTTACGATCTTCTACAGTCCGAGTAATATTAATAAGATAGTCCTACAAAATGATATAAATAGATCATGGAACACAAATATATAACTGCACAAAAAATTTTATATTTATACCATTTGATGCGTCTGTCTATTCTCAAGCATTTCTATCCTGTTGACCAAATCAGCTTTGTTAACTAAATTTTCTTTAATTATTTCATTGTCAGTTAATATTTTTTCAATAATTTTATTTTGACGATCCTCCCATTGTACATTATTTAACGATTTTTCTATTGCTGTTTCAGTCACAGGTTTAACGTCAGAGAGAAGCGACAAACATTGTACTATGCACCAACCACCTGAAACAAATTTCATATCCATAAACATTTCAAATGCAATTATTACAATCTCCTTCTCCTGTTACTTTATTGAACTTGTTACAGCGTTCCAACACAAAGTTAGTGCCACAAATCTGTCCAATATTATTAAATTTACAATCACAAAGATCTCAAAATATATCTTAAATTTTAATGGCACAGAACGATTACAATGATGTAATTGTTCAAAATGGAACTATTATACAATATGGTAACTGAGAGAAGGATAGACGAAGAAACTCACCGTTCAGTTGATACCGATCGCGATCATGATTCCAAGTATTTCAAGCACAACACTCCGACTTTTTAACGCCCACAGTAGAGTAATCCTCCCCCTATCCTTCTCCCACAATAAAATTTTTATTTTTCGCTTTTTAGATTAGGTTCATTAAATGCTTAATTGTGACACTATGACGCTATATCACTCTAATGGACTGTATTCAAAAGACTACTAATATCATATACATGAAAAATATTTTATTAAGTATGAACGTGTTTTTACAATACAGATATTATCTAACGACAGTAACTGTTACATCAAAATATTGTTATATCTTTGAAGCGTGTAAAAATGAAATCAATACATGTGTGGTGGTTAACTGAAAAAATGTTATTTCATTTAATAACGCGATTAAATTATATATTATGTATTTTATAATATCTATAGGATTAAATATTGTAAAACATAAAATATTTAATAAAATATATATAATGTGTAACAGAAAAATGACTAAGAGTGATATGACCAGTTAGTTCATGAAATATAACACAGTACATGACCAGTTAGTTCTTGAAATATAACACAATATAATTATATGTAAAATATATAGAACATCACACACACAATATATGTATAATTGTGCGCAAAATATATTGATAAATATCTATATATCTTCACACAAAAAATATTAACCTATTAATAAATCAAACAATAAGCAAAGAGGTACTGATAGACAATATGTATATATCGTAAAGAATATTTCATTATATGATTTAAATAAGTAAATCATAGGGTATTCGTAATCGATTCTTACGTTCAAGACTATTTTAAAGTACAGTCTTAAGATGTCACAAATCAGAGGGCGATATTCATAGTCTATTCTTACTTTAAGATCGTCTTAAGTCATGTCTTAAAATGCAACCTTCTAATTGACTTATAACATCTTAAGACTGTACCCGAGACAATCTCAAATATAAGACTCGACTATGAATATCAGTCAGAGAGTCATATTAGCATCTTAAGACATTACTTAAGATAATCTTGAAATAAGAACAGATTATGAATACCGGCCAGAATTTTTGAAATAATATTATACAATATATTATATGGTAAATATATATGCATATTAAATATGTCAAAATAGTAAACAATTAGGGGAATTATTAAGTAGACATTCTATTATAGCATTATTAAAATTTTGTAGTAATATGGCAACAAATAATGATGATATATACAGATTTTATCATAAAATAAAAAAATAATAAAAACAATGTTAAATCACACACAATTATTAATTTGAGGAAGAAATGGATGAAAGAGGTATTCCTCTTAAAAATATTATATGAAAATTTTTAAGAATGTCTGAAAAAAATGTTATACTATCAATTGCAAAATTGCATGTATAATAGAATTTTGCTTTCATCATATAATTTTGTAAAAAAATACGGATATTTATACTTTCATCCATTTGGATTAAATTATTATATTTAGGATTATTATTTTGACAACTTTTCAATTAATCACCACTTTATGTTCCACCCAATAGGAGGCATTTCAGGCAAAGACACGTTCACACTTGGTAAAAGGTGCATGAAATAATTTTTAAGATCTGCAAGGTATTTTATAAACGATTCAAAGGTAAAAGATATTAAGTTGCTTATATTGTTAAAGATGTGATAAGTCGTCTCAATGACACCATATTGGACATTGCGCAGAGAGTCCGCAAAAGTGAAATAATGCCTCTGCGCGATGTAAGCCCCTGAAACAAAAAAAATACGAAGGCCAGGATAGGTTTGTGTCTTTCAGGTCCCACGAAAGACATTGGTCTGACTGTGTTTGGATCGGTTTAGATTTCATGTGGATTAATAAAAATGGAATTCAGTGATGTCTCTGATTTTCTTTTATATTCCTTCAACAAAATGAAGAAACTCACCAAACAAAAGAAGTAACGGTAAAAGTGTGATCCATAGAATCCTTGGGCTTTTTTCTAGCCACTTCCTAACGCCAGTGAATCGACTTAACAGCCAAGCATCAAGTACAAGCATTCTGACGAAGAAAAAGTACATATTGTGCGTATAACGATCCAAAGTTTGCCATAACGAGCTCCATTTGGATTCTAGAAACAGCAAATAAGAAAATTAGTTAACAGACATATTTAATATTAATACGCTACATAACATAAAAGATAATTATTATATTATATTACGCTCAATTATATATTTTCTATATAATTAAATATTATTTTTTATTGCATTTATAATTTTTTCTATATTTATAAAAAAGAATGTTTCTTGAATATCATTAATACCATTAGATGAGCGATAAGCTTGCGAAACATAACACTGTCTTTTCTCATCCGTTTTAAACTTGAAGAATTCGACAGTTTTCCTAAAGCAGATGACAATAAAGGTTGTAAAATATGTGAACCATTGCACGACTCTCCAACTTTGATTAGTTTTGACCGATGATTTTACGTAAGTATCATCCAAATCGGTATCAGAATCGGCATGAGATGCATCATACTTTCCAATTGGAGTATTCGCCCACGATAAGTAGCTGGTGAAATAAGATTGCATTAACTTAATTTTATTTCAATAAAAGTTTTATTTTAATAAATGAGAAAAAATAAAAAATACCTTGACCGAAAATTTGAAGAACATCTTGGATCCGAATAAATTATTTCTTTGTGACTTGTATATTGTTTTACGTGTGTCTTCTTGTACAAAGTCGTTTTTGCTGTAGAAATCGACATATCCGCGCGTGACATGTCGCAATTATCCCCAAACTGCAAAATTCACGTATAGTTTTAAAACGCAATGTCATGATACATCAAGAAAAATAAGAGAACAATAATTCAAGATGACAAATACTTACCGAATGAATTGGAGAGATGGTCTCTTTCAAATCAGCCGTGTCCATATCGCTGATTCCGCTTTCTGTCGTTCCTTGCGAAGCTTGACTTAAATTTCGATGACTTGTTTGAGATACGGTACTTCCGTTGTTTGCGTGTATAGGCCGTCTCGACATATTGGGCATAGCTAATATACCTGGGGCGATCTCGTAACGACACTGCGACGTTGGCGAATATGTATAATCTGTCTTTGGAAAAACGCTAAAACATTCACAAATAATTTGATTTTTCGCACAAATAGTACACATGCAAATTATTCATTTAATTCCAATACTATTTATTAACACCAGCAACTTGACCTACACTCTGTGACTAATGCTAATTAAGACATGCTATTATTTATAAATGTTTGTTTCTCCAACGGAAGGAATATATCTTCAAAATAAACAACATTGAATCAAACAAATGTAAGTCACAGAAGAATTCGTTATTGGCGTAATGGTCACATTCAACTATTGCGGAGCGGATCCATAAGCGCTTACTGCTATTGATGTATTCTTCTAGATCTTCCAATAGCAGCGAGCGCTCACAGATCCGTAAGCTCCATAAGTTGTGTGCTAAACGCGATTAATCATTTAATACTCCAATTAAAAAGTTGCCGTTAAAAACAGAAAAGTGTACAGTATATATAGAATAAGACTTAAAATAGAAGAGCGCGAGTGTGGCATAGTAGACAGCGCACTGATCTATCATGCCAGAAATCTCGGGTTCGATTCAGTAGGAAAAATTTACGCTCGTGTTTCCTCTCGGAAAAGCTCGGCAATCTCCCAAGAGTATCTTTGCCCACAGAAACACCTCTCGAAAAGGAACTAGCATTAAAACTATAAGTCTCATATGATTGTGGCAATTGAATAATCAGTGTGTGCACCACAAGCACATGAAAGAGGTGTAACATAGGCCAGAGGCCTAACGTAAGAAGAAAAGGAAGTGTTTCTTCTTTACATAATAAAATGATGGATCTCAAATTTCCACAAAAAGATTTTAATTTTAATGTCACAAGAGTAATTCTTGGTTTTCGCAATGCAATTATATTAAATGGATTATATTAAAAAACTACTCCGTGATATCAAAATTTGAGATCCATATCTATTTGTCATCAACATCATTTTTGTGGAAATTTTATATATTATGTAAAGAAACGGTTCTTCTTCTTCTTACGTTAGGTCTCATAATATATAAAATTTCCACAAAAATAATTAAGATTTCAAATTTCCACAAAAAGAGCTTTTGCCTGACGGAACCTAATTCTGGATCGGATGCGTTTGCTCTTAAAACCGTAACGTAAAAAGATCTTTTTGCGGAAATTTTTAGATCTACATCATTTTTGTGAAAATTTTATGTATTATGTAAAGAAGAAACACTTCTTCGATGGTTAAAATTGTGCTTATAAAATTACAAATCAAATATTCATACTTCCACCATTCACCAGCTTGCTTGTAAATCTCGTAGGCGGATCCTGGCCTACTTGGAGGATCTTCTCTTTCTCCTTCTTCCGAAGAATAGTCACTGGTAAATACTCTGCGTGGTGTAACACTTCTGTGTCTTCGTTCTGCTTTCTTGTCAGGTGCATCCTCCTTACTTTCACTCTGGCCATTGACAAATATTTGTCTTTTGGCTCTTTGACGTTCCGATCGGCGTTCTGCCTTTTTTATGGTGACGACAGAACCTTCGGATTTTGTGCTTTGATTATCTGTTAGACTTTCTGTGATAGATCCTTCTTTATTTTCCTCTATGGTTTCCATGTTCTTTTCATGCGTCTTTACACTGCCAGTTCTATAATCATATAAATACAAATGATAAAGATATAACTTATTTATAATCATTAAGCAAATACTTTTATGTTTAGAATGATTACTTACAATGATCTAGAACCAGATCTTCTACTACTGGTTACTTCTCCAGGCGTGTGAGATCTCTCCCGGCTCCAATTTCTGAGATCATAATGACGCTCTGTCACCTCTGGCTCTTGCTGAGGACGATTTGGAACCATAGGCGTATGGGAACGTGATCTGCTTCTGCTGCGAAGCTCATAGTGATGCTGCTCGTTCTCCATTCTTCTATAGAACAAACAAGAATCGGATCGAAGTGGAAATCGTTTCTCTTAATAACTAATACTACGACCTTCCGACAAACAGTACGGACGATCAAAGGTTATCGCTCGCTTTTAGGAAAGAATCGCAGGGGCCGTTGGGGAGAACATATGTCCGAACATATACCGCCTAAAAATAGCACCCCTCCCCGAAGGACACGGCCGCGGTCCTTTTTGCTAGATCCCTATTTCTATCCTCTCCTCGCCGCGCACTCCTCATCGAAAGCTCCGCGGATGAACACGCGGTGCCGTCGACTTCGTGAGCTACGAGAATTGACAAGAATCACCGCTCGATCACGTTGCGAGTTGCGATCCGCGCGGCAACTCGATTCTCTTGGAGGAAGGAACCGACGGAGCATACCAATCTCTCCTACCAATCTTCCATCAACGTCGAGGACTGGCTCGCTCCGGCGGGTTGGCCCACCACGGCGAATTGTATGTGACACCGCTATTTATAGAAAACTCACCGTTTCCGCGCGGCGACGCTAACGGGAGTCGGGACGCGCAACGACGACGGCGAGACGTACCTCGCGTTGCGCAACACGCGCGACGCGCGAAGATCACGAAGACGCGTTTCACATAAGAAAAAAAAAAAAAAAAAAAAATCCAATGTACCCCGCTAACCCCACCAGCCGCGATGTACGCGTGGGAGTACGCAAATCGTTCTGTTAACGCGTAGAAAACGCCAAGTGCGTGCGCATTTTGCCTGATGATTCATACTCACTTAATTCTGTTTATTGATAGGGAAGAGGGAGCACGACATCGTCATTTTCGTTCGACGTTCTTTTTTTTCTTCGATTTTACCGCTAATCTACGCCGACTGATCGCGGAGCGGAAGACGCGCGTCGTTTTCTGCTTCCTAGCCTAAATATATATCGTAGTTACGTATATCCACGATATATAGATCTTTATTGATCCGTAAACATGACTAAATTGGACTAAGCGAGAATCGCGCGTAATGTACAGAAACTACGGAATGCATGTAAATGTATTCTTACCGGTGTTGAAACACTTGTAAAAAATAAAGAAAAAATAATGATGAAAAAAATGCAAAGCGGCGACGGATAGACAGGAAATAATGAAAGAATAAGAAGACCTTCATATTTAAAAAAATTCAGGAATTTTCATTCCATTGTGCCTACAACGCAATTCCTGGTAATCCTGATCGCGAATGAATTGAACATTTATATTGAACACATTTTTTTCCTCTACAACGCGAGTAGAACAATGATCTAAAAAAAGAGAGGAATAAATTGATCGTCTCTTTATTTCAGTAAATGTTCTTCGGCGGAGGGAGGAATCCGCTTTGTAGAAATCGCGTAGAATAAAATACAGGGAGACATATGATTTCTGTATTATTCCGTGTAATCTCGATAGTTAACTACGCCTTGAAGGTGCAATTTGACTTTTGAAAGCGGCATAAGTATTATACTACGCTATGCGGAGAACCGTCCGTTTCGTACACAGGTGTCATTCGTCGTGTTAATAAAATAAATAGGTTATGAGTGTAACTGTAATACCAGTTAACATTGTATATACAATAACACCTAATATATATAAATTTAAATGTAAGTATAATAGGGTGTGTCAATGTAAAAATGTATAGTATATAATTTTCTAAGCTGGGTAGTTGCAGAAAGAGACAGGAAGAAAGGAAGATTTCTTAACCTCTAAAGAATCTCTTTCTCTTTTGGATATTTTATGATAAAATTACAAAATAAATTGTACACTTGGACTATCGAGACATTTTGTTTTGTGAAGTAGATTATTTCTTTAACAGGCCATGTCAAATCATTATTCATGATTAACAGATTATGTCGGATTTGGAGTTGGGATTGAAGACAGGACGAAGGAGTTATGAGGAAATATTAAAACAGCGGCAGGATGAAGGATATAAAACCGCAACGACAAACGAACAGGTAGATTTCTTCATGTGAAGCAAACATTACCTATGTTTATGTTACTAGATTCATTTTTATTCATTACTCGTCAAATATTGCTATTTGTATAGTTTTAAAATTTATAAAATACTTATGAGCCATATAATTGTATACAATTTATGCACAAACAGCTGCGGAGATTCACATAGGTATTTTTATTTGTATTTGATTTATCACTTCTTGAAATCACAAATTACTATTGTTTAATTTAAAATTTGTCAACAATCTTTCCACTGTATATCTTTTTAGGCTCGCGTTGAGGAGATTGTGCTCAAGTTTTACCGATCATGCAGAGAAGGGGATCCTGTTTTACTTAGACCCAAACACATTCAGTTCTTGAAGAAAGCAATCACTAATTTAAATGACACTTACGAGGTATCCACTATTTTTAATATCAAACAGCATATGTGTATAATATTGGCTGCGTTCAACAGAAAAAGCAGCTTTGCAACTATTGTAAAATTCTTTAATATGATTGGTTTAATTCTTTAATATGATCTTGTTCTTTATTTTTCACTAAATATAAATATATAAACTAGATCTAAATATATACACTAATCATATTCAAAAATTTTACAATAATTGCAAAGCTGCTTTTTCTGCTGAACGCAGCCATTGCTTTTGTAGATGATTGAGGAAAAATATCATTCTGCTTGTAACAAGGAACTTATTGAGTATTTGTAACAATACCATATAGTGTTTGGACTCCAGTAGACCGTGGCTATGCTTCTGGATATTGCATTCACTTGCGATATTAGGAGAACGATTGGAAAGTGAGGAGTGTTCCAAGATAGCTGGCTTTCTAGCCAAATGTCAATCGTCGACAGGTGGTTTCGGTGGAGGCCCAGGACAATATCCACATTTAGCATCTACATATGCAGCAGTGAACGCATTATGCACCATTGGTACACAAGAGGCATACGATGTGATAGATAGGTAAATAATTCAATATAATTTTTTTCATAATAATGCTATAAAACATTTTGCATATTTTTAAAATTTAGATAGATTTTTTGCTAAAAAATTAAAATTATTATAATTTCAGAAAAAACTTGAAACGGTTCCTAGCGTCCTTGCGTGGAGAAGACGGTTCTTTCTGCATGCACGAAAACGGCGAGGTAGACATACGTGGAGCGTATTGTGCTCTTGCTGCCGCCAAGTTGACAAACGTGTATACACCGGATATGTTTAAAGATACCGCCGAATGGATAGCCAAATGTCAAACATGGGAGGGTGGTTTCGGCGGTTGTCCAGGAATGGAGGCTCACGGTGGATATGCATATTGCGCTTTGGCAGCGCTCATAATGCTCGGAAAAACAGAGCTTTGCCATTTACCGAAATTGTTGGTAAGTTCTTCTTTACGATTACAATAAGATCTTCACGTTCACATTCTTATCATTCCACAGAGATGGATTGTAAATAAGCAAATGCGTTTGGAAGGCGGTTTCCAAGGACGTACGAACAAATTAGTAGACGGATGCTATTCTTTCTGGCAAGGTGGGACGTTCCCATTGATCGCCGCTATTCTGTCGACGCAGGGAAAGGGGTTTAACAATTCCGACCATTGGCTGTTCAACCAAGAGGCCTTACAAGAGTATATATTAACTTGCTGTCAGAATCCGCATGGCGGTCTTCTAGATAAACCGGGAAAGTATGTGATCACACTCTTTCGCGTCTGTAATTACTATAAATGTAATTTCATTGGCGAGTAATTTTAATAGCGTTAATCACGTGATAACTTTTTTCTTTTCTTTTCTTAGAAATCGTGACATATACCACACATGTTATGTTCTTAGTGGATTATCGATTGCGCAAAACTCACCAATAAAGTCGATCATCGGAAGAAGACTTACGAATAAGGTAGAAGTGATCCATCCGGTTTACAACGTGGAATACTCCGCCGCGAAAAAGGCGCAGGAGTATTTTCCTACTTTACCGATACCAGCCGATTGATTCGTCTTAGTTATTTAAAATGTAATCATGTTTGTATGTTTTTCCTAAAAAGAGAAAAAAAGAAAAAATATCCTAAAAAAAGATGAAATTTATCTCAAACTGACCAATGAAAAAGTTGTTTGTATACGAGAATCCATACTTGTGATATATAAAAAAAGAGAACTTTATAAAAAAAAACCACGTTAATCGATCTTGATGCATATTATTGGATATTGAAAATTAAAAGGTCGCATTTTCCCTATCTTAGTTTTATCTTATGTTAATAAAGTTTATGAAGAAGATAATAATAACTTATTTACATCCTTGTGATATGTTATCGTTATTTGAAATTTTTTAAATTAACAATCATATGACCTCCGATAGTGTATAAGTGTACAAATAATGCAAATTCAGAAATGGATCCAGAGATAAAAGTCTATTGCAACATGTGATTTTACATATATAGATATATGTACATATATAAGGGTACATAAATAATAGAATATAATTCCATTGCTATATATAGTATATATAATTCAATACTCAAGGAAATACTAGATGCAGAAAAATACATTTTCTTACATTAATATAAAAATTAACTTTTTAATGTTGTTTGATTCAGAACTCGCTCGACTAAATTTTTTTTTTCGATAATCAAATACCGTACATATTTTTATCTTACATGTAACATAACATTGCAACGGCTATTTATCGTTCGGCATTTTGCACAATTATAAATACGGCAAGATATCTCGCATATTGAGAACAAAATAAAGTCTAATCTGTGCTTTGTTTCTTGTTTTTTGTTTTTTACCGTTTTTTATCTCTTTCCTTTTTGCCTCTTACATCTTCATTTTTCGGTCCGAAATAGATAAAAAGTTATTCAAATTTCGAAAGAAACAAGAAACATCTTATCATTGGTTGTTGATCAAAACAGTTATAACGAGGAAAAAAACAAGAAACAAAAAGGAACAAGGAACATTGGAGATTAGACTAAAATTAAAAAAAAATATTCCCAGATACATGTATGTTGCATAAGATATTCAAGACATTTTTTAAACAAAAAAAAAGAGTTTTTTTAAATATCTTATGCAATATAAATGTTATTGGGTTCAAAATAAAAAAAAATCTATAATATATGAAGGAAGTTTGTGATATTTCGATCTCTGCACCGTCCACTGCATCCCTTGCAGATTATTATTGATTAACGCACGTATATATGCACTCACGTTACTATTATAACACATAGCTTAAACTTTTTTTATTTATCAATAAATTATAAAATAATATCTATAAGACAAAAATCTTTTGTGTTTATGAGCTTCGATCATTTTTTGTACAATCTTGATTATACAAATTTGAACGAAAAATGAAATAAGGAATCTCACTTTATGAGATAAAGTCTCATAATAATTGAATTATTGAAATTTTCATTTACAATCGAGATATTAGTGATTAATATAAATGCGATTAATAATACGTACATGTGATAAATGTTTAAAAATTGCAGTCTTTTGTTAGTTATTTTGATATAGCCAATTATTGCATGTAGTTATACGCATGGTTCAACATAATTTCCTGGAAACAATCCAGTTATACCATCCATTACCCCCTCCCACCATCCGTCATCATTTTTCTTGAGCACGTAAATCACAGAACTCTCTTGAAAGCTTAATTCGTCTTCTTTATCCGCGTAATAATCATAAATAGCCACCACTGCAATTGCAATTTTTATATTATTACATATTGTATTAACTAATATAACACATCTTATTATATTCATTTTATATATCAATTCATTTATTAAATGTTTAACAATGCGACAGACAAAATTAATTTTGAGATTCTACCTTTTTCAATATAATTCTTTGGCACCCATCCGGGCAGATCTTCCTCATCCGGCACAATCGGCATTATAGCACCAGATGGGGTTGGTCTGCCAAATTGCGGATGTTCCTCCTGCTCTGGTGGTGGTGGCGGTGGTAAAGGTGGACTATTTGCACCGCTACCACGGCTAATTTGATGTGATAATCTGTGCGGCAAGGTGTGATGGCCGGTATATTCAGACATATCGCCTAGTCCAACCAAAGGCGAAGGTGGAGCTGAGATGGCAAAAAAAATATCAGTATCTCACAACAAATCAGAAATCAAACATTAAAATGAATACAGTTTCATTATCAATATCGATATTAATTATATAATAATATTGTTACTTACGAGGCATACTGTTATGCTGCTCCTGCACATAACCCGCGGTAACGCTGGGCGGTGCTGGAGGTGGTGTTTGAGGATGATTCTGCAAGGGATGAACCGTTCCCACTTGCGGCATAGTGTGCTGATTGATGGTATTGGCATGCGCGTTATGATTGGTATTATGACTCGTGTGGGACGTGTTATGAGCATGCAATGGTAGAGTGCTATATCCCGGGCGATCTCGTCTGGGATGGCCAAGTGGATAGTTGGGCGCGTAGTGGCTAGGAACTTGAGGTGGGGCTACTGCTGGCGGAGTCCTATATTCGCGCGATCCTTTACTTAATGTTCCTATACACAAAGAATGTTATGGATTATTATTCGATGTATTAACAAGATTGACACATGTAACATCAAATGTGACAGATAGAATAGTATAACATTTAGAAGCCAAAAGAAAGAAAAGACACACATGCAAGCAAGAAGCAGTAAATACCTTTGCGTTAGCGAAATGATTTTAATTTTTTTATAACCGCAACTGAAAAAGTACACCTTTACAAGTTTGTGTAGTACTCGTACAATTCTTAGTCGCTTACGTAGGGTGTCCCAGAGCATTCCTGGGACACCCTGTGCATACAGAATGTTTGATACAACTACAGATTGTTCTCCATAAATGATGCAGAGACAAGAAAAATT